AATATCAATCACGCATGTAATTATCCGCTCGTCCCACGCCCGCAAAAAGGTGTATTACTGGTAGCGGAGGCGGCGGGAGTAACCGTTTCACTGGTAGCAAGGGCGGCGGAAGGGACCGCCTCTTTGGCAGCAGGGTAAGCGGGTGTGGCCATCTCACTGGTAACAGGAGCGACGGGAAATACCGTCTCGGTCGGCTTCCTGTAGTTTCGCAGCCGTCCCAGGCCCGCCCCCCGGCTGCGCCCTGGGGTTTGGTATCCGTCGTTCCATATCGTCGGACGGGCAGGCTGCCGTGACCATTGAGAGGCCGTCGCGATCTGAGCTCAGGTGGCTCACAACAAAGGTGGCCTTGCGATGCCCGAGATTTGTTACCGCATCGCATTTATAATTTGGCCGTGGATTCCCCCCGATCTGATCAAATGACGTGTGTCACATCTAAATTCCTCTTGACAGGCATGCTGCTTCACGCTTTCCAATTTGATTAAGTTTTGGAGACATAGTCTGTTGCAGACTATATAATGGTAGTGTGATCGGTGTTGTGCATTGTGCGCGAATTGCTTTGCCGACGTACGAAAACTTTCCCTTTATGCTTACTGATACTGTTGTAAACTGCCTTCTTCCTGCTGGCTTGCCGTTGTGAACACGTGTCCAATGCCGATATAAAAAGATCAAGAGTGGACTAATTCGTAATCGCCGAGTGCGAGTACGAGTAGTCCTGTGTTCCTCGCGAATCATCCCACATTTGTACCTAGGTTTTCTCTACCTTTTATACATTTGCTCCTAAATGCCTGCTCCGTGTCGTCCGGACGTGTTTCCGTTCAAACCTCATGCACGCTGCTCCACAGTCCGCCATGCCTCCGGAGCTGACTTGGTGCGCGAACCGAGCGTAATTGAAGGCCAAGGGGACGTTGGTCGTTACTCACTCTAAACCCAATCGGAAGTCAGCCAGGTGCCACCCGGGACGCGCTCCTGGGAGTCAGTCTCTAGCCGACCGAAGGCTAATCAGGAGCCAAGTGTCAGCCGATCGGGAGACGACCAGGGATCAATGAGAAGCCAATCGGGAGATAACCGGGAGTCAATGAAAAGTCACCCAGGGGGTCACCAGGACCAAAGAGAGCGTAAACGCGGGAGCCAGCCGGGGGCCACCACGGAGAGCCGCTCTGGAGCAAGCCCTAATCTGAACGTTCGTGAGCCCGCGCCTTGGTGTGACCGGCCGCTGGGTCATTAGTGATTACGCTGGCGTGTCGGGCAGCCGTTCCGCCCGCCCCGCGCTAATCGCTGTCTTGGGAGGGCGTGGCTGGGCCGCCGGCGCCGGCTGGCCCGGCGGGCGACCGGCAGCGGCGACGGCGCGGACGCCCAACAGCGACGGACCCCGGTCAGCACCGGCCGCCCAGCGGCGCTGGCAACGGCGCCGACACCACCGGCTTCGTTGAACGTTTTGTCTCCGTTCAAGATCGAGCAGTGTGGGCGGGGCACGGAGCCGGAAGCGGCGGCGGATTCGGCTGTAGACACAGTGAAATGGTAACAATAGGATGCGAGGCGAAAAACACAAATTATCTAGGGCAGAGTCCTGTTGTGCCTGGGAACACCGATTTAAATGCTCCCAATCCAAACTCGTAGCACAAATCCGGCCGAAAATGATGAGATAGCAAATCGGATGTTCACAGTTACAACGAATGGTGCGACATTCATGTGACCTAGGAGAGCCCCAATGTGATGTTACATGAAACACAAATGCATTTAGGATGGACGTGAACGAGCGTTTCCCTTTTTCGTATAGCTATTCTGAATGTCCGAGGACCCTACCACAGCACCCTGCTGCAGGTGTTTGTCGACTGCCGGCACCAGCCGTTGGTAGTTAGATCGGTGTGTCGTCATTTATTATCATATAATGAAGACAATTCAATAGCAATGAGACGCGTATGACCGGTGGGTGAGTCAATACAATCCCCTGGAAGGTTTTTCTCAAATGGTTTCCGAACGGCGCGGCGCAGCCGCGCCAAATTTTGCGTACCAAAAATTTAGACGTGCTTTGTAAGGTTGCTGACCTAAGGCAGGTCAAACTCAGATCATGGATTCAGCGAAGTCTTTTTCTAGGGAATCGTTCAATCTGATGTAACAACGGAGCGTTAGACAAAGCCATACACCTCTGAGATAATTTCTTAACCAACGCAAAGATTCAATAAACAAATTCCATTGACCCAGGGTCAGGTGTAAAGGTCAGACCAAGGTTATACTCTAGGGATTGCTGTATGGAGTAGTTTCTGTTTCTCATTTCGGATTGATTGATGTCAGGAACCGCATAAGGCATCTGCCATGGGCTTCTTAAAGGTCAGAATAGGTCGCTGACCCAAAATGAGCCAGATCAACATTTTGTTTTTAGGAGCATACTGCCTAGTGTAATCTTTGTCGCTCACTCAAATGCAGAGCTCACAGTCTTGTATGACTTTGGTCACCATGACCTTCGAAAGGTCAAATAAGGTAATCCTTTAATGAGCATAGACTCACATGTTCATTTAACTGACCCTAAATGACCATAGAACCTTTTGCTTAGAACAGGTATCTAGGTTCTGGGGCACTTTGGAGACCAACCTGGAGTTTGACCTTGTTCGATCTTATTTGACCCGAATGTCACACCCTAGGAGCGTCAAACTTTGACCCAAGTGAGCTCACGTAGAGGCCAACACATCAGGTGAATTTGGTGCATCTAGCTCTCTCAGTTTCTGATATCTCAGCGGGGTCAAATTGACCCCCACCCGAGCGAAGGATGTCTGTGTATGAGTGCGTCATTGGGGCTTTACGGCGCACTCAGCTGCTGAGGCTATATGGCGTCGCCTGCCTCTTACCCTGGCAGGAAGGGCGGGCACCACGGAGAATCCAACTCCGTACCCCTGGTTCCCCAGACGCGCAGTGGTTAACGCAGACGCGTTGACCACTACACTACCGGCACGAGCGAAGGGTATCCAGCCGGCGACCCGGGCGCGTGCTACTATGTAGAGAACGGGCAACTACATGATATCCCGACAGCTTCTTTGAGCAGCTTTAACGCCTGCCCCTGTGGTACCGTGTCAAGGTCAGCCCGGGTCGCTCAACCACAACCGAGCCAAGCTTTGTCAACCTGTCAGCAGATGATGTAGATGACCCCGGTTCTTAAAGCTTTGAGGGTCCTTAGGCTTTGTTTGCCAATGTGACTGAGTGCTCCTCCTGTCCACCAAGGAGCAGTCCTTGTGCGTTAGCGAAGCAGTCTCTGTTCTGTTCTGCGCCATCGCCGGCCACGTGCCCAATATTCCACTGCGGGCCGCTGCATCAAATTGTCTCTACATCATACACATGTATTAGGGGACATAACCGTACATCTTAAAACACTGTTCCCGTCATCACGTCATCGCGGGCAAAAATAGTCTTTCTTGTAGTTCAGTACACACAGAGAACTGCGAGTGCTCTCTTCTCGACCGTCTGACAGCGCTGGCAGCAAGCGCCACGCGGCGGTGCCGCCATCCGGCCCAGCTGTCGCTGCGGACCCCCGGAGCCGGACCGAGGAGCGGACGGGCCGCCGGCGCGCCGCTCGGACGACTGGTCTGCGCCAGGGGCGAGGCGAGGTATTGCACGGGTAGCGCGGCGGCGCGCGACACCACGGCCATGCTCGGTCCGACTAGATGCCGCCCCTGCTGCCGGGCCTGGCGCCACCCCTGCTGCCGGGCCTGGCGCAGCCCCTGCCGCCGGGCCTGGCGCCGCCCTGCTGCCAGGTCTAGCGCCGCCTCTGCCCGGTTTGCTTTGGCGCTGCTGTAGGCCTCGCACGCCTGGAAACAAAGTTCTTCGTTAGTGAAGTTGTCGCCGTCTGTTCTATGTGCTCAGTCCGCCGTGCCCTGGCCCTCACTCACACCGCCGTCCCCAGAGATCAACCCCCACCCACGCCGCTGCCCCCAGATCTGACCCTCACCCGCACCGCTGCCCCCAGATCTGACCCCTCACCCGCACCGCTGCCCCCAGATCTGACCCTCACCCGCACCGCTGCCCCCAGATCTGACCCCTCACCCGCACCGCTGCCCCCAGATCTGACCCTCACCCGCACCGCTGCCCCCAGATCTGACCCTCACCCGCACCGCCATCCTCAGATCTGACCCCTCACTCACGCCGCCGTCCGGAGAGCTGACCCCTCAGTTGAGCCACCGCACATTACGGGAAGATTAACGAGCAAGCCAGGTGAGCGGCTCCCGGTCGCGTAATTGTCCAGATTTGCATTTCAATGCCACACATCCGACGCGCAAGCAATTACGCCCGTCCGCCAAAGAGGTCAGCCGGGCCCCCTAGCCGGCGGACGCCCCGAATTGGCTATGCACGCCCACTTGATTGTTTTTCCGCAGTCGGCAGCGATAATTCACGCATTTTTAGGTCGCGCCCAATGGTGCGCGCGCGCGCCGATAATGCCGCCGGCGCCGGCGCCAGCCGTTCGCGCGTTTTTTCTTGACGCGTCTCTGAGGAAGCGCATCGGAAACGGCAGCCGGCGATAGGGGCTGACCCGCGGTTCAGCTGCACGCGCTCTTTCTCCTCTGTTCGGCGCGCCCGCTGGCTGGCGCGGCTGCGCGGCTGGGCGCATCGCTGTCATGGGGAAGCGTGATTGCACAACAAAGAGAAAATTGGAAGCGGATACGTTTTTGAGATTGAAAATGAGCAGCGAAGCTGCCGAAGACGACAGCATTTTGTTTGGCACATGATTTCTTTTGGAAACACGGTGCCCGGTCTGTTATCAAACTATGAGTTTGCCCAGCTCAAACTGATGGTTCAATAACCCATGCAATAGTTGCTGCAGGCTAGGGGCATAGCCAGGGGGACACAGAGGCTATACTCATCCTCTGAGCCGAGGTATCCTGAGCTCAGTACCCTAGGTACACAACAATTTTGCAGGAATTCGGTTCCAATTCGCTGAGCTTCGGAGAAAAATTGGCCTTTACCTCCCTCGTTGAGGAAAATTCTGGCTACGTTCCTACCACAGACAAGACGGGATGGTTCGGTACGTTACTACTATAACAGGGCACAGGAGGCAGCTTCGCGCGCGGGGCACGCTGTGGGTGCGGAGGATGCAACGTGCGTTGTCCGCGCACAGCTCTGGTGAGCAGACAGCGGACGCATGCGCTCGGCTCCAGCGGTCGAGCGGAAGCCGCTCGCCTCCAGCCGCACCCAGTCCGTGACGTCAGCGGATTTCCGGCCGACTGTGGGCCGGTTTCTAGGTTTATCCTCGGCTGACTGGAAGTGACACCTCTCCCCAGCCACCGTTGCTGAGCTCCAGCACTGGGAGGCCATGCCGGGCGCGGGACGAAGGAACCGCACGCTGGACTTCTTGGCAGAGGCCGTCGTTTGACAGCGCCAGGCGAGGCTCGGCGCCAAATTCCTCTCAGTCGGGATGCCGGTTAAACGGGCGAGGGGGAGGGCGGGATAAAACGGGGGCGGTCCGGGCGGGGGCAGAGAGGAGGCCAGACACCCAAACAGTCCTCTGCTCGGTGGTCGACCGCCAGAGCCGCGCTGGGCCGTCCAACAGCAGCCCCGCCCGCATTCAATGTTCGAGACAGGGCGGTGCGATAATGACCCGCCTGGGTGACAGGCGGCCCCGCATCTCCTCCCCTCTCCCTCCCCTCCCCCTCCCCCCACGCCGCCTGTCGGTCCCTTTGTTTTACAGCGGCTATCTCTGAAGCGTCGCGTATAATGACCGTAAAATTACACCAATCATGTATGTCTTACTCGACCATAAACTTTTTGCATGCGTTTGGCCGCTGTTGTAATTGTGACGGTGCACTGAAGGCGGGATACCACACTGAACCGGGGACCACCTGGACCGGGGACCACACTGGGTGGAGTTGTGCCACCTGGACCGGGGACCACACTGGGTGGAGTTGTGCCACCTGGACCGGGGACCACACTGGGTGGAGTTGTGCCACACTAGACCGGGGACCACACTGGGTGGAGTTGTGCCACCTGGACCGGGGACCACACTGGGTGGAGTTGTGCCACACTAGACCGGGGACCACACTGGGTGGAGTTGTGCCACCTGGACCGGGGACCACACTGGGTGGAGTTGTGCCACCTGGACCGGGGACCACACTGGGTGGAGTTGTGCCACCTGGACCGGGGACCACACTGGGTGGACTTGTGCCACCTGGACCGGGGACCACACTGGGTGAAGTTGTGCCACCTGGACCGGGGACCACACAGGGTGGAGTTGTGCCACCTGGACCGGGGACCACACTGGGTGGAGTTGTGCCACCTGGACCGGGGACCACACTGGGCGGACTTGTGCCACCTGGACCGGGGACCACACTGGGTGGAGTTGTGCCACCTGGACCGGGGACCACACTGGGTGGAGTTGTGCCACCTGGACCGGGGACCACACTGGGCGGACTTGTGCCACCTGGACCGGGGACCACACTGGGTGGAGTTGTGCCACCTGGACCGGGGACCACACTGGGTGGAGTTGTGCCACCTGGACCGGGGACCACACTGGGCGGACTTGTGCCACCTGGACCGGGACCACACTGGGTGGAGTTGTGCCACCTGGACCGGGGACCACACTGGGTGGAGTTGTGCCACCTGGACCGGGGACCACACTGGGCGGACTTGTGCCACCTGGACCGGGGACCACACTGGGCGGACTTGTGCCACCTGGACCGGGGACCACACTGGGTGGAGTTGTGCCACACTGGACCGGGGACCACACTGGGTGGAGTTGTGCCACCTGGACCGGGGACCACACTGGGTGGACTTGTGCCACCTGGACCGGGGACCACATGGGCGGACTTGTGCCACCTGGA